GGAGGAGGGGGAGCCTGAGGATGCTGAGAAGGAGGAGGCTGAGGAGGTTGAGCAGGAGCCAAGGGAGGAAGAGAAGACTGAGGAAGAGGAGGAGGTGGAGGGGCTTGAAGAGGCTGAGGAAGAGGAGGGGGAGGAACAGTCTGAGGAGCAGGCTGTTGCGGAAGAGGCTGAGGTGGGGGAGGCTAAGGAGGAGCATGTTGGAGAGGAGGCGGCTGAGGAAGAGGAGGCTGAGGAGTGCGAGGAGCCTGAGGAGGGAGAGGAGGCTGTAGAGGCTGAGCAGGAGCCTGAGCACGAGGACCAGAGGGAGGAGGGCCAGAAGGAGGAAGAAGGAGCACAGGAGCTGCAGGAGAAGCGGAAAGGGGAAGAACAGTAAGAGGCGCGGCGGGGTCCGTCCCCATCCTCGCTCAAGGCTCTAGAGGCCCTGCAGTCAGAGCTGGAGCCCGTGAATAAAGAAGCCAGCAGGTCCTACGCTTGGCTCAGGCTCAGGTTTTGTCAGAGGCGGCAGCGCCATCTGGAACACCTCAGCGCCCTTATCCGGGACATCCCTGGCTTCTGGGCCAAGGCTGTATTCTTGACGCTGTCATGGAGGGACCCCGATATGGCTGGCCTAGAAGAAGAGGAACCGAAGGGAGGGGGCTGTTGAGTATCAAAATACATCGGTTGGTGAACCCCCACCCCCAGCCACACCCCCAGCCTGCTGGGGTGTGGTGGCCACGCTCATGCCCTGGTGATCCCGAAAGCCTCAACATCCTCATTCTGGGTGGGAGTGGGGGCTGGAGGTCTCAGGGTGCTCTTGACGACACACGAGGAACTGGAAGTCCAGTGGGGGAGTAGGAGCAGAGGTCCAGCTCACAATTAGGAATTAGGAGCCGCGGCAAGGCGTCTTCCCACAAAATGGTTCCAGACAAAGCTCAGGTTCCCCTCGGGGTAATGCGGCAGGTGAGCGGCTGTGAGTGCCCAACTGGTCAGCCTGAGGCAGGGATGTGTGTTTTTCTAGAGATGAGCTAGTTGTGTCTGGCCGTCAGCACAGGAGGATTAGCTGGGGAGGGGTCGTGGGGCGGGAGGGGTGTTTCTGAGAATGCACAGCCCCCTGTGCGTGTGCATGTGTCAGCTTCGTGGTCTGTAAATGCCGGGGTACCCGCCTGCTTGCCCCTTGCTCTGCTTGTTCGGCTCAGATGAAAGCGTGACTTCATAATCTGCAGCGGGAGAGGGACAGCTCCCATGTTTGCGCATGGTCTGAAGGGGTCCTAGGCTGGGCCATTACGGGGGACCGCAGGGTACTCCTCTATGCTTGTGCCATTTGGTAGGGAGTTGCAGAGGATGTAAAGCTCGGGGGAAGAAGTGGGCACACGGTCCCCCACCTCTTAGCATCTCCCGCAAGCTCTCAACTCACGGTGTGATGTTGAGGCCCGGCCCAGAGGGAAGCGTGAGGCAGGGGTAGGGGGGGGATGCTTTGTGAGATCAAGGAGCCCCAGGTGTCAGGAGTCAATTGGACGCTGAGGGCGTCAGGGCCAGGGTCCCCAACAGGAAAGCACGGCGCTGGGACAGCTCAGACAAAACCGCGCTAGCATCCCGTTTGAACACTCGGACAAGACCACCATAGCATCCTGGCTAGCAGCCCCTGCAGGGGTGACCTTTGCAGGACGACCCGAAAAAAAGCCACTAACCATGAAACATCGGTCACTGTCACAATCTGAGGCACTTCGTCTCCAGATGTCAGCCCACAAGACCCCTCAGCACGGGAGACGTGGGCGTGATCCAAGGCCTGACTGGCCACACCTTGGTAGGGAATCCACAGGGGACCCAATCTCAAGTTCCTGGAAAGAGCTCAAAAGAACCCCCAAGTCTGAATGGGAACCCGCCAACCCTCTCGGGCAGCTTTGTCCTCTGGCTGAAGAAAATTTGCCCTGCTGCCCAGCGCTCTTCATCTGGTCTACGTCTTCCTTCCTTGAAGCTGGCACGGCCAAGAACCTGGGCACTAAGGGAAGAAAACTCCCGTAACCCCGAGTGCTTTACCGAATCTACATTGAACGCACCTTCTTCGGGGCTCTCCCCACTCACCGTTGCAGTGAACACCTTAGCCTGGCGGGACCCGGGTCAGCCGATAACAGGGACATGGTTGGCGAAAGGCACGAGGGGCCTGCTCCTGGCTGTCTGTCGTGACTCCTCGGAAGGGCACCGTCCAGCTTCCAAGATACAGCCCTGCGCGTGCTCAGCAGAGGAAAGGAAACGGACGCCTACTTGGACGCATTTGCCTTTGGGGCCCCATCTTCCATATGCAAATCCTGCTCTGGTGTTTGTTATGGTGTACTTTAGGGGATGCCTTATTTCAGGCTAGCAGCTTGACTTAACGGCCTCACGGACGCGCTTCCTTTCGGCCAGTCTGACTCTCCTTAGCATAGAGCCCCAGCTGCCACCTGCATCCCACCCCCACCCCACCCCGAGCCAGGGGCTCATCCTCCCACTCCTACACCTTATGTCTGGTGAACATTTTCTGGGTCATTGGTGCCGAACATCGCCTGCCCGTTACAGTAGTGTTTCTCTGAACCTATCGAACGTATCACGCACTGCCCTCTGGCCTCCGTGCATCCGAAGGGGAAGCTGGCTCTTCCTTCCCTGAGGATCCCCGGTGTGTGGTGGGTCAGTCCCACCTCCGTAGGTTGCCGAAAGATGCGTCTTTGCCTCACTGGCCCAGTGGCCTGGGCGTCCCTTTGGAGTGTGCCTTCCACCAGGAGCGCATTGGGCTCCTTGGATGTGCAGAGTCAGCACTGTCAGGCAACTTGCAAAGCCCTGTCATGTTAGTTCTTCATGCACTTGCTGCATGACTAACTCCCTCCCACCTCTCTCTGGCGTTCCCGATCCGTGCATGTCGGTGGTGGGCATGAGGTTTTC